TCTTGAGGAGGGTCCCTGCAGCAGCCAGCTCTTCAGGATCGTCTCCACCCAGGTCTCCTCCTGTATCTCCACCTGTATCTCCTCCTGTGTCTCCTCCTGTATCTCCACCTGTATCTCCTCCTGTGTCTCCTCCTGGCTTTCCTTCTACCTCCCTTCTCCTTGACCTACAAGTGAGCTCCTCCTCGTGCCCCTCTTTCCCCTCCTCCTGTTTCTCCTCTCCCTGTTCTTCCCCAGCCAGGTCACAGAGGAGCCCAGTGAGAACCAGCCGCTGCCCCTCCCCCTGCCTTCCCCTGATGATGGCTGAGGAGGAGCAGTGGCCTGGTGTGGAGCCTGAGGAGCAGCAGAGGATCAGCCCCTGTTCCAGACCAGCGGAACCGAGCCAGCCTCCAGAAGATCTCCTCTCTTCTTCTTTCTTGATCTCCACAGGTCCTGAGCCGAGGTGGAAGAAGAATCTGAGGGCCCTCCTGACCTTCAGGAAGCGGCAGCGTGGCGGCGGGGCGGCTCCACGGGCGGAAGGAGAGCCTCCACGGAAGCGTCCTCACAAGAGATAAGCTATACCGTGATGTGTACATAATGATAAGATAGAGTAAGATAAGTTAAGTTTAGATAAGTTTAGTTAAGATAAGCAACATGTAGAATCTCTAATTAGCTCTTTTGGCAGCTAATGAATTAGCAAAGGGCACAGACTGTTCGGTCAGATAACTTGGTGTTTGTTAACATCTCACTCCTCCTCTCAAAATATGGTCACAGATGGAAAAACTTCTCTCATGTAGGTTCTTATGTAGCGCTCCTCCTCAGCTCCAGCCTCTCCTCAAAATATGGTCACAGATGGAAAAACTTCTCTCATGTAGGTTCTTATGTAGCGCTCCTCCTCAGCTCCAGGCTCTCCTCAAAATATGGTCACAGATGGAAAAACGTCTCTCATGTAGGTTCTTATGTAGCGCTCCTCCTCAGCTCCAGGCTCTCCTCAAAATATGGTCACAGATGGAAAAACGTCTCTCATGTAGGTTCTTATGTAGCGCTCCTCCTCAGCTCCAGGCTCTCCTCAAAATATGGTCTCAGGTTTCAGGTAAAAAGGTCTAAAAAGGCAACAAATCAATATGTTTATTTTACAGTCTATGGTTATGACGTGTTTTGATGTGGTGTTATCACCTACTATAACAAGTAGAAACTCATTCTGGAAACTTGTTCTTTAAGCACATAATGAAATCGACAATCGGCACAGACTTTTGGTCTGATAACTCAGCGTTTGCTTCTTGCTCCTCACCAGCTCCTCCTCTCCTCCAAATATCGTCACAGATATGAAAATTAAAAACCCAGGATTTAAAAAAGAAATCTTAATCATCAGGTATCAGTGTCTTCGCTCACTGTACCTGGTTATGTTGTTCAGTGTTTTTCATACACAGTTACATTGTTTGTAACTTGGCGTTTGCTAACGTTTCGCTCCTCTTCAGCTCCACCGTTGTATTCAAACATGGTCACCTCTGACCTTTGGCGGCTAATGAATTAGCCACACGCACAGACTTTTTCATATGGTTAATTAGCATTCGCTAACTGTTACTCCTCTCCAGCTCCTCCTCATGTCCAAATATGATCACAGCAGAAATAACTGAAATTATTTTTTTTTAGGATTAGCAGTATGTTAGCAATAAAGCTAATTGCACCTGGCTTGTAAGCTTGTTATGTGTTTGTGATACATTGATTGGATTGTGTAACTTGGTGTTTGCTAACACTTCGCTCCTCTTAAGCTCCAACGTCTTATCCTCTTGAGCCTCTCTGGTGCTTATTTTCCTCCAAATACAGGTAGAAATAAGTGATAATTTTGTACTTTGTGTATTATAGCACCGTAGACTAAACTATGATTGACACCAAAAAGCTAAATGAATCGTTGACTTGTTGAGTGTTTGTCGTTAATTGTTGCAGCTGAGACTTCTGGTAAGAAGCTCCTTCACCAACTCATGAATTAACAACGGGTTCAGATTGTCTGGTAACTTTATGGTAACATTTGTTGGTACTGGAAAAAACTGGAAAACTGGAACTGGAACTGGTAAAACTGGAAGATTAAAAATTAAAATTAAAATAGTATAGAGCTATAATGTGATGTTGTGTTTTTTTCTGATTTTATGTTGTGTTTATGTGTAGATATGTTATTTGGTGTTATTGTGTTGTCTTGTGTTCTGTCATGTTGTATTGTGTTTTGTTGTGTTGGTTTATGTTGTCTTGTGTTTTGTTGTGTTGGTTTATGTTGTATTGTGTTTTGTTGTGTTGGTTTATGTTGTATTGTGTTTTGTTGTGTTGGTTTATGTTGTATTGTGTTTTGTTGTGTTGGTTTATGTTGTCTTGTGTTTTGTTGTGTTGGTTTATGTTGTATTGTGTTTTGTTGTGTTGGTATATGTTGTATTGGGTTTTGTTGTGTTGGTTTATGTTGTATTGGGTTTTGTTGTGTTGGTTTATGTTGTATTGTGTTTTGTTGTGTTGGTTTATGTTGTATTGTGTTTTGTTGTGTTGGTTTATGTTGTCTTGTGTTTTGTTGTGTTGGTATATGTTGTCTTGTGTTTTGTTGTGTTGGTTTATGTTGTATTGTGTTTTGTTGTGTTGGTTTATGTTGTCTTGTGTTTTGTTGTGTTGGTTTATGTTGTATTGTGTTTTGTTGTGTTGGTTTATGTTGTATTGTGTTTTGTTGTGTTGGTTTATGTTGTCTTGTGTTTTGTTGTGTTGGTTTATGTTGTATTGTGTTTTGTTGTGTTGGTTTATGTTATATTGTGTTTTGTTGTGTTGGTATATGTTGTATTGTGTTTTGTTGTGTTGGTATATGTTGTATTGGGTTTTGTTGTGTTGGTTTATGTTGTATTGTGTTTTGTTGTGTTGGTTTATGTTGTATTGTGATGTGTTGTGTTGTTATGTGTTACTTTCTGTTGTGATGTATCGTGTTGTGTCGTGTCATGTCTCGTCATGTGATCTGATGTGATGTGATGTAATGATTGATGATGTCACATCATGTCAGGATGTGAGCTAATGGTTTCATCAAAAGGAACTTTTGGTTCATTTAATGTCACCGCGTCTCTTTGATTCATTCACTCAGCTGACAGGTGAGATCTTAAAAGGTGAGTACAACATAAATAAACATGTTTTTTTTGTTTTTTTTGCGTAGGATCCTTTTTGATTTGTTTTTTTTTCTTCAGGAACAGGAGCAGAAATCAGAAGAGGAGACAGGAAGCAGCACAGATGAGACCAACAGGATGAATCGAATGACCAGAGAGATGAGAAAAGATGAGGGACGCGTATCAATGGTAACTTGATGACAACATCTCTATAGACATTATATATTAATAAGAATACAATGCTCACTTTGAGACAAACTCTTTGAATTGCACCATAGTACATTGTGTATTTATTTGGGTAACGTGTAGAATAAACCCTTTTAATGTTTATTTGTTTCAGCAGAGACCTCCGAGCAAACAGAGGAGCTGGCCACGCACTCCTTTTAAAGAGAAGAAGGAGATGAGTTTGGAGACCACACCAGAGCTTTGCACAATATTTAGCAATCTTAGTTTCCAAAAACAAAATAAATTTTAATTAACATCATATGAATGTTAACATGTTCACGTCGTATTCTGTCAAGTATTTGTATTTCTCTGTATTTTGAGGTGGGAGGGCTCTAAAGAATATAAGATAATACTTTACTGATGCCCAGAGGGGAAAATCCGGTGTAAATACAATTAAATTAAGAATAGTTGACATAAAATCATAAAATTGGAAGTATATACATCTGGCATACGAAGGAATAAAGTGAACTATACAGGACAATAAGATATTATGTGGAGTAAAGTTAAAGTGACAATTGAAGATATAATGTGACAGGGTATGATGAATAGTTTAAAGTTATAACAGCACAGTATAACTTTTAACACGGTATAGTACAGAGTTACACAATGTGATGTGTATTTTAAGATTTTACTAAAGGTGCAATATAAGAGGAAGTAAAATATAAAACGATAATCTGGTATAGTACAGAACAGTGTCTGTGGGGTTTTGCAGTATGAATATGTATAACAATGATATGGAATGTTAAGTGTTAAAAGTGAAAATATAAAAAATAAATGATAGATTAGCATAAAAACTAATTGAATAGAACATACAATTATTTAATAGAATAGAAATGGAACTAAGACAATGTTATACACAGTATATGTGGTATCAATTTAAATAATCTCAATAGTAATAAACTGTCTAATTTATCAAAGCATAACAATTGAAGACACAGTTAATTGCATTATTAAGTCCAGCATTGGATGCAGCTATATTTATTTATTATTTGGTTTATTTAACACAATGAACATTGCCTCGTACGTAAACTACAAAGTAGATGCATTCAGGTTTCTAGCCATGGCTAATTTGCCGCCCCTGTCCTGGCGAGGCTTTGTAATCGTTTGCTGTCCAAAAAGGTCTTTTCACTATTCAAGTAACCCCCAACTGTTAGACAAAAATCAAATGATAAATTATTACTGATGTCAAAGTTAAAAAATATAAAATTTTGTTCAAATAGTATTTGATATGATAAGAACAGAATTAGAATTTGCAACAAATAACCCACAAAATCCTCCAGAGGGAGCTGCATGTGTAGCACTTAGTAATACGTTTTCCATCTGAGTCTTCACTATCATCATGTCTGCATTTTGGTGAGGTCGGCCCTCATGAAAAAATTTAAAAGATGTCTGAGGTGTGTGAGTGATAGTAACCTGAGATAAGATGAATCCCATCACAATCAAAGAACATCTGGCTGACACCAGAGTAATTCTCCCTGTTTCCTTTTTTGCAAATATGAATTAACATTGTGTACAAAGTCTTAGTAAGGAACCCTGTCATATCTAAATGTATATCATTAGTTTCTTTTCAAGCACAAAGCCATGAAATCAGACAATGCAGCTATGTAATTTGCACTAAGCCTTTCTAAAATGGATCACAGGAAAATAACCAAAACATGCGAAAGAGTGGGAAACTCTTTGTGTAAAAGTCTTTATTTAATCACAAAACAAAACATTTACAAAACACAACACACATTTTGAATCACTGCAGTTGAATGTACCAAATGAGAATGAAATCCAATACGTTTATTTAAAAGGAAGACATTAAGTGTCACTATACTCAACATAAAAAAGCACAATAAAACCATCTGCATATTATAAACAAGATGTACTGTATCTATGCTAGCTCATGATTGTCAGTGGAAAAGCAATATCAAATACAAACTCAGTAAAAAAAATAACAAAACAAAATGCAGTGTGTGATATCCTGTCAAGGCTTACACACACTGTGTACATCGAGTTTAGTTTAGAATCTTGGTGTTTTCATAAATAAGCTTTTGTTTAGAGGGCATGACGTTAGTGTTGCTAAATGTTCTTTAGTTAAATGAATTACATGAATAGAGATTTGCAGATTTTAGTAATACATTTTCTGTGAAACCAATTCAACAGTTTACTTGGCAATTATTAATGACCAAATTATATCTGGTTCTAACAGGACTTAAATCAGTGCCAACTTTCAGAAACAACTCACTCTTAAGTACAGTTAACATGTATAGACTGTTTGTCCATAATAAGTTACAAATCAATGGTTGATAATGAACACACTGCACTTGTTAGTCAACAGGAATGGTTCCCAAACTGTGGGATGGGGCCCTCTGGAGGGCACAGAGGTATCTCAGGGGGGGAGGTATCTCAGCAGATCTTTTTGTAATGTCCGTCAAATGCGTCAATGTTTAATCAATTGCCAATTCACTAAACCCCTCCCCAAAGCAATGCTCGTCCAATCATTAAGGGCCTGTGTCTACAAACAGTTTATTTTGCACTTGCATCGCCCGTTTTCAATACAAAACCAATGTAGTGCTCAGCATACTGAGCACAAAAACGGCCTCAGTGTCAGTTGTTCTTTGTCTCTGCGCTAGCAGTGCTGTCAGTTGAAAACAGGTCAACTCTTGGAACAGCACTGCACTTGTCAATGTCACTTCTCCCAAACCAACCAATCAAAATCAAGAATGGACACGACTTCCGATAATAGTTTGTCAACAACAATTTATGAGGAGATGCTAGTTTGATTTGTCTTTTAGAGGGAACAATTTATAGGTCTAGAGCTGCTCCCAATGCCAGGACATGACTCCTTTACACTGGTTTTAGGTTTTCTTGGTGAATTTTCCTTGAATTAACGCAAATGCTAAGCACACAGAGCTATCTGAAACGCACCCTAATGACATTACAGGGGGAATCAGAAATTATCTTTCATCACCTAGCAACAATGAGTGCAGGTGAGAAGCACTCTGAAAGCAGAGGTTGTGGGTGCAAAAAGCACTGTCTGTGGACAAAGGCCCTTAAGCAAATGTGAGTAGGTATGGCTGACTTGTCCAGGTTTGGGAACCAAAAATACAGAGGACAAAAACAGACTCCAAACATTAGCATGTACTGCTTACTAGTTTGCCACCAACAGCTGTTATCTAGAATCACGCTAATGCCAAAGCAAGTTTTTTTATTCAGGATGTGGGACACAGTAGTAAATGCAATTGTATCAGAGATTAAGGAGCTACCAGGGATAGCAGCTCAACCCTTTAATACAAGAATACTATTTCATTATGGCTTTGTATTATTGGGGGAGTAGGTTAACTTTTAGCTAGGTACATGGAAAGTTTTAGCTAAAGTTTGGACATAAGTATTTTTTTTCTTTACATTTTACTGTATCACCTAACAACTAGGCTACCATGTGCTGTTCAGTGTGCTCTTACAGAGTTTTTGTTTATAATTAGTAAGGTGGAGACATTAAAAAGTCAGTGGGTGATTGTATTCCTATTTTTTTAACCAGTTCACTTAGATAGTGTTACTTAGCTAGGAAGATAAATAAAATTCTAGATATTATGGAGCCTATGCATGCTGTTAAAAAAAATACAATTGTATCTGTTAATTGTATTTTACTATCATTGTTAGCTGCATGTTCTGTGTGAGAACAGGGGCTTTTTTTGTGGCTATTTTTGAGTTGCATGACTTATTTTGAAGTCGGGCCGATTTTCAATAAAATCGCGCGTCTTTTGCCGTACAGAATACAGGAGTGCATGAGGGCCCATCAGCTGCTCATGACCGGTTGGATGTGTGGCATGTTTGATGTTGTGGTCATACAACTGCATAATCTTGCACAGTGAACACGAGCCAACTCCCTGACTTCAGGGCTTTTTTTCCCCCTAATTGACACTGACCCAATTAAACCTGGAAGACAGCGCCTGAAAGCACCATGGAAACAACAGGAATGCCAGTTTTCAAAAAAGTGGCAGGAAATAGCTGCTTACCACCAGCTATCAGGGAATACTTGTTATGGTTTAGCTTTCTAGTTAGCTAGTGTTTGTAGGTGATGCTTAGTGTGTGCATATGAGAGTAAACGTGTGGATTTGAGCTGTGCATATGACGCAACTGAAATACATCTGATTTCAACTTCCATTGGTGGGAGTTTTCAAAGGAAACTTTATTGACAGATGCCAATGCTCTGTCCTGATTTAACATGTACAGTGTGGGTTCTGAGTTAGTGCTTGACAACCAAATTGTACAGCATGAGCACATCATTCTTGCTGGCCTTAGTTGAACCACCACCAATATTTACGGAAGTAATTAGTTCAACCTGTGCTTTCCCACTATAAAAAAGTCTCTGTGGTGAAAGAAATATCTCTGAATCAAGTACCTACAAGACGACACGCTAGGAGTGAACACTGCTTCAACCTGTCAACATTTTGAGTCAAATCCGAAAATGTGAAGACGATGACTTTGACGGTAAGTTTGAAGTTAATGTAAGTGATTTATCTCATTTGAACACCTGATCCTTCTTTGAAAATACAAAAAAAGTGTTACTGCTGTTGTTTCAGTGTGTTTACTCTCACTGTGTCACTAACTCCCCCATTATTGTTATCAGTTAAAAAAAATTGTTTCAATAAATGTTTTGGTGTGACATGACTGAGGGACAACCATTTCATCAGCTTATAAAGTGAAGCATGACAGAAATAGTTTGGGAACCACTGATATACAGTACCAATGATCTCATTGACAGTAACATTAGACCGTTTTAAAAAATAAATAAGTGTTTTTTTTCTATGTAAAGACCTTCTATAATTTTTTGTAAAGTGTCAAATTTAGCACCATTGTAACCTGCAAGGATACAACAAAACAGATGTGGGTTAAAAATGCCAACATGAACTATACTCCAGGCTGTTTCATAGCTATGTGTCCGCTTAGCCTCTGGAGTTAACTTTCACCAGGCTTGACAAAACCTGTGAATGATAGCATAACAACCATTGAGTCTGTCCAGAAATAAAACGGGAATGTCAGTGTAGAGTGTAAACACAGGAGAGGAGGAGAGCTGGATGGAGTAATTTAAACAAACATCAGTCAAACCCACTTAGGTTCTCTCATTGCAGAGCTTGAACAGCACAAAACCTCTTCCAACTCCAACTCAAATGAATTTTAACCCAACACAGACCAAAAAAAAAAAAAAAAAAAAAGTCACGTTTGGTTCAAAATCTCAAACATCTGAATGTACTACACAGTGTTGCTTTGGCGTCTTGCCATTAGCTGAGTGGTGAGGTAGAGAAATGACTGAATGGCAGGCCTGCTGTTAGATGACTTAAGGTGGAGATTGCATGCTGAAGCTGATACATCTGGACTTCTGCTCAGCTGTATGAGAGGGGAGCATCTCTGCGCCTCGCACAGGAAACCGACCTGAGCCTGCTAATGCACTGAAGTAAGTGTGTGTGTGTGTGTGTGTGTGTGTGTGTGTGTGTGTGTGTGTGTGTGTGTGTGTTTGATTCTGTCTGAGAGAAAGTTTCTGTGAATGTGTGGGTATGTCAAAACAATTTGAAGGTAAAAATTCATTTCATATGAATACGTGAGTGTTGAGGTCTGGGGAGTTATGCTTCTCCGTATGCTGAGGCTTTGTCTTTAAGCATGTCCAGACACAGGTGACAGCTCCAGCTCCCTGCGGAGATAAAGAAGAAGACAGAGAGCCTGAAAATGTTGTCCTCCTTGCCCTTTTCCATATATAGCCCAGGTTTACAAGCTGTGTACCCATACAGGACATGTTGACATAAACCCACTGATGCATATTAATCCTATGGGAGCCATACCTTCTGGAGGCTGGGTCATTGGAGGCTTCAGGCAGTACATGTGGTATCCTCTGTCGCAGTCGTCACAGAACAGCAGCTGGTCCTGCACAGGTAGCAAACAAAAAACATCTTGAATAGATAATAGCCATAAAATATGTGCAGAAAGTGGAAGATCATTTTAAACCTGCTTTTTGGTGTCAATCATAGTTTAGAAACTTATTCAAATGTGGCTCCTCAACAGCGAGAAGTACTGTCAGCTTTCAAAACGTAAAGCTCCTGTGAGGAATTTCAAGCTGGTTATGAAAGAGGCTCGAACTAATATTGTTGCCTCTCTAAGGGAATTTTACAAAAGATATCAAAGAAAATCGATTAACAACCTTCAAATGTATACTTACATCATTCTCCGAGGTGCCACACAGGCTGCAGGACTTGCACTCTATACACTGCCACTGGTACGTCCTCACTGCCTGCATCATGTTGTCAGTGAACTGCAGACATGTAGGGTGACCTGAGAGGTGAGGATGAGGAGAAACAAGAAAAGTGAAAAGGGAGTGAGGACATAGTGACTCACTATATGTACCGCTTGATGTCTGTTTGTTAAGTATAGAGCTACATCTGGGAGAGGATTAGCTTAGCTTGACTGAGAGGGGTAAAAAAGCTAGACTGGCTCCATCCAAACAAAACACATTTTGTCTAATGGCATCTATAAAGCGTTTTTTTTTTTTTTTTTTATCTTGTTAGTTTGAAGCTCCTTTGAGAACTTTGGATTTGTGTCAATTTTGCTGTACTTTAATACACTGACTTACTAATACTGTTCTTTGGTGAGTCAAATAAATATCATTTGATGTCTCTGTTAACAAAAACAGGAGGTTTAGCTGTCCCCCCTTCTTTCTAGTTTTACGCTAAGCTAACAGTTTGCTTGCTGTAGCTTCATAATGACAGCCTTGATAAGGATGGGAAATTTAAAAGTGGTTTTCTTGCTGTGTTTTTTAAATCACTCGTGGTTTTCTTTTGCAGGAATGTAAAGAACCAATCATGGTCTCCCTTAATGTTACAGACCACAAAGACCCTGAAGTTTGAACTGCAACCCCTGTACCTAACAGAGAGAGCGGACTCACCTGAGCGTCCACAGTCGGAGCAGGACACCAGCTCCTCAGCCTGGCCCGTCTTCCTGTTGGAGTCCTGGTCTCCCAGGCAGAAGTCACAGTAATCGTTCGGGATGATGGAGCCGTCTGCGGCTTTCTGAGCTGTCAGTTATAATAGACACATGTAGGAGAAGAACAAATGAGCTGTTATTTGACAGTTTTGAAATATCTTGGTTGTCATAAACTGTGACGATGAGTGCTCATGAGGACATTTCTGGAAGAAAAAAAAACAGAGACTCTAACTCTCTATGTGTTTAATGTAACTAAATGTTGTCCAGCATCTTACGTTTGTGGTTGTCGGAGTACCGTGGAGGGGATGGGGCAATCTCTGTTTCCTTCTCCTCCTCACCCTCCTCCTCTGCCAGGTGAGTGTGGGTGTAGTGGTAGCTCAGGCCAGGCCGGTTTTTGTAGCGCTTTCCACAGACTACAGAGGAAACACCACAGGTCCATCAGAAGCATATCCAACCATGTGATGAATACAGTAGAGGAGCTAGTATAGTGGACAAAGAGTCTGCTTTTACTCAACTGTCAGCCCCGGGTAAACTGGACTAAAACAGATTTCTTGCAAAGAGACAAATCGCAGGCGCTTCAACTCACTATTCGTTTTTTAATGATTGGTAGTTTACTCTGCTTCACAGTTATTCTATGTGATAAAAATTATATTTACTGCAGGAACATGTCTGCTACATCCCCTCTAAGATGCCATTAATTCATTAAAACTGTCAAAAAACGACACTCTGTGTATGCTGCTACAATGAATTTAGTCCACTTAGTAGTCAAGAAAAAGTTTAATAATGAATACTCTCATTAGTTTGAGACAGTGTTGATGAGATTTGTAATATTGTGCTTAAACAGCCAGAAAGATGAATTATCTGCAACTGATTTTTCAAGAAGATCATGAATTTTAATAATTAGAAAGTTACATTATAGCTGAATTAAGGCAACAAGATAGCTAGGATGGATTAGCTACTGTTAAATCAGGCACTTAATTCAGCTGTAGAAAGGAAAATCGTATCTCAGTCTCTTCCTGATTAATATTTCACAAGAAAATACAGGGTGTATGGGACATTGAGCTTGTCTAAGGAGTACCAGTCGAAAGATGTTTTCAAAAACAGCTTGAAAATGTGCCTTTTGTTCATTCTGTTCTGTGAAGCCATGAAGTCATAACTCTAACAAATGAAAAGCTATTTGCTTGGAAACATTGAGCTAATCATAGGGGAACTAGGCTCTACGGTCTAAATTTGTAGGAGCTCTTGGGGTTTTTTAACTAGCACACTAGAGCTGTAGCCATCATAGAAGTTTCCTTTTGCTCCATTTTTCTGCCGCTTTTCTTGATACAGCCAATTCTGCAGCAACTGTACTGTAACCAGATTAACATATTTTTATCACAGAGCTTATAACCTCGCTGCCAATTCAACCGCTTGGTTAAAAAAAGGATCCATGTGAAAATTTCAAGGAATTCCACCCACTATAAACACTTCTACAATGGCTACACCTGAGGATCACATCACTGCTAGAGAGGCCTCAAGAAACATGCATCACCCAGTGCGACAACAGCTGCTATTCGAGCATTATTTGTTGCATGCCTTGCAATGAGCAAGCATGAAGGCACATGGCGTAGCGTTAGTGACATGCAAATGCTTGCACTTGAACTCAGGAGCAGCAGAAAGCGTTTAAAGCAGCAGAGCTCTCTGAAGGTTTAGCAGTCAGTCAGCCATTCCCACACCAGATGCCCATGAGCAAGAAGGCCGATCATAAAGATGCTACAAAAGACAAGATGGCGACAGTTTCAGGTACCTTCTTCGGCCTTTTTTGAGTTATGCTTTTGTTTGTATCTGTCTGGAACAGAGAAGACACAAAAGCAAATAATAAAGGAAAGACAGAACAAGACATAAAATGAGGATGAGATTTGATTGATTGAGCGAGGCTATTTCCGTCCGCATCCCCCATTCCTGAGGGATTCTGCCCAAGTATGCAAATGGCATGCTAGTCAGGTCTGGATAAACAGCAAACCCTTTCTTCATGCTGCAGAGGACTGCTCTTAGAACAAGAGGGAGAGGTGGCCAACATGAAAGATGAGAGAAAATGACTCGTCTTCTGGATTTTTCTGTGTTTTCTAAAACATCTAACGTAAGAATTTGGACTAGGCACCTCGAGAAAAAGCTTTCCTAATAATACATCATAAAGAAAATACATTAGCTTAAAGAGCCTCGTTGGAATTATTTCTCCATTTTCTCTGACTTTAAGAAACAGTGTGATTAAGGTAGACTAACATGTAAACCAAAAACACATGGCACAGAGCACATGATTTACAAAGAATGATGTTCTCGGTATTCTTACTGTCACAGACGTAAGGTTTGTCCTGGTCGTCCGTGTTTACAGGTTCTGTCCTTCTGCGACTGGATCCTCTGTTCTACGAAAGAAAAACAACACCAACTGATGTTCAAACCACTGACGATTCAACATTAAAGCACGCATCAAAACAAATGTATAGATAACTGTTTCATACATACAAGAATTCAAATTCAAATAACTTTATTTATCCGTTAGGAACTTAAAAGAGCATCAGTGCGCATACAGCTAGACACAGAAACATCAACAGAAACACACACATACAAGTGGCTCTATTAAAAGCATGATAAATAGGTCATAAATAATTGTTATAAGAGGTTAAAAGAGTGGTGTTAAACCACTCTTTTAACCTCTGAAAACATGGTTTTAATTTGTTCACTTATGTAATTAAGATCAACCAAATTTCCATCATATTAGATCTTACCTGACTTCACAGTCAGCTAAAGCTGACATGCATGCGATTATTTTTTTACACTTACATTTTACAAGCTGTTCACATACAACAGCACTCTTCTCATTTATGTCATGTCCACTACTGCACTATCATTAGTGAGTACTGTATAACATTTTAAACAGTTACCAAACTCTCATTGATGTTTCTTTTTACAGTTTAAATTGGGCTTGCCACCCCACAATGAAATGATTTGACCCAGAAAAAAACAAAACAACAGGACAAACAGCAGAGCACAAACTAGAAGAGACTGTGATGTACCGAGGCATAGAACGGAATTTAGTCAAAAGTGGTGTCTGTCAGAAGCACACAGTCCAGTAACAAATTACCAGCACATATCAGTGACTGTGAGAACTACTTGATCTTTTAAAGAAAACTCAAACATTGGTAAAAAAAAAAAACAAACAGTTATGTACTCATATTATTTGTCATATCTGTCTCCCCTTCTGTTGCCCGTTCCCAGGCGATTCTGGCTCATCCTGCATTTATACTTAGCTAATTGTACGTAGGTCTGTTATTTCTGATGTGACAATCGTGTCTATTTTGTTGGTAAAACTGTCTGTGAGTTCTTTTGTGTGCTGTTCTGTAGACTGTCCTGTGAGGTGTCCTGTAGTTGTAAATTTGTTTTGTGTTTTGTGTTTTTTGTTAACACCTGCCTTAGGACTAAGGATGAAATGTAGCTTTTGTGCTAATTCTGGTGTATTTACATAGATGCTAACTGGCTGATGTGCTAATTAATGTGCACAGTCCTTATTCAATAAATAAATAGATTATGAAAACGTAACTAAACTGTGGCACACTTTTTTATTTTTTCATTGTATGTTGCTGTAACCTAACGGCACCTGATAGGTAGGTTGGTTGTGCATGGGGTACCCTGATGGTCGTTTAAATAATGAAATACACTTGTTGAGTTTAGGAACCATAAGATGTGGCTCAGTGTCTTGTAACATTCTGCTTAAATCTTGAAAAGACGCTGTCTAAATGTGTGTCACGTTCACTCGATTCAGTTAATTGTACGTTGTTTAAACGATGTTACATTCCGTTGAACAGCATGAATCCAAACACACTGACTCTTACTTTGCCTCTGTTTCTGTTCTTTCTCTTTGGAGTGTCAAGTTCAAAGTCTTCATCATCGTGGAAACCATCACCATTTTCCTCCGCCTCAAGAACTCTCTGCAGAGCACAAAAACACGCCATCAGAACGAGAGAACGTTTAAAAAAAAAGATGGTGGCTATAAAAACAAGTAAATATTGTTTATTATTGAGATCATTCACATCTCTCAGTTGTACGCTCTCGTTTAAATCCTCTCTCCTCATATGTTTGTTTCGTAATATCAAACTTTTTTTGCATCTACCAAAGCAGAACAATCAATCATATCCATGATACGACCCATTTTATCACTCATTGTTGAATACCTGTATTTCCAGCAGGGTCTCCTCTTCTTTACAGATGTTGTTTTTTTTCTCTAGCAGGTTGTCCCCCCTCAGGAGGGCCTCCAAGGCTGTGGCCTCCCCTGGTGGGACCTCACGCTTGGGGGCCAGCTCAGCTTCTAAGGAGGACGAAAGGAAAAGAAAGAAAAGAGCATTAAAGATGACAGGTCTGTACAAGCTGTGGTCCTAACTTGAGCACATCATTTAGTTTTTCCTGACCTTGTGTTTGGGATGACTAAAAGGACACTTGTAGCTGCAGATCAAGTCCATTGACATCAATGTGTGACACAGTGTGAGTGAGCCCTCTGTTTTGTATGCCGAGGGAGTTTTAGTAATAGAGCCGTATAGCATGTTCACAGTCCAACAACGCCAAAGCAGAGGAAGCAACTTTAAACAATAGAACACAATAATGAACCTTAAAGAGTTCTGTTAACTTGCTTGATTCTACTTTATCTTTCTCCCGCTCCCTTTTCTCATTTCCGTTGAGATGAATTTTCTGCAGCATCTCTGTCTTCGTCTTTGAACACTAACACCGGGATGAAGACAAAATGAAAGTAGTGATGTGATAAGAAAGGCAAGGAGGGAGCGAGACGGCAGAGGCTGTGATGTGTTCTTATTGAATTTAGAGCTGCTGCGCGTCCCCTAAATCCCTAAACCTGCCACTAACACCACCCACCCCGCCCCCAATAACCAATATATTATGTATCCTTCTTCACCGCTATTCTCTGCTGATCCCCTCTACCACTCCTCTTCTTCTAAAGTGAATGAATCTATTTTCCCCATTTTTTTTCTTTGCCTTCATCTATCCTGCTTCCCCGTCATTGACCTCCTCACCTCTATCTTGACTCTCCAGGGCGAACATAGGGGAGAGAATGTGGAGGTGAATTTTCTGCTTCTCCAGCAAAAAGCAACAAAAGCATCCTCCAGCTGAAACCCCGAACGGACATACAAACAAACTGCCTCATACAAATCATATCGATCTATTCCACTGCTGACTCTAAAAGGACACTCCAGGGGCACCCTAGCCTAGAGAGAATATATTCTAATAAATTTGACTTTTAAAATTTTGAATCTGACCTGTGGCTCCATTGCTGACTCTATCCACTGTCCTATCGCTAAATAAAGGCATAAGAAGGCAAAAAAAAAAAACATGTAAAAGCAAGTCTGACGTTTGAAGAGTACCGCTCATCTACAGATGATGATGTCTCAGCGATTGCAGTGGGAAGACCCTTACATCATGTAAGATTATGCAGTCTGGGAAACAGAGGATCCAACAGAATTTTTAGAGCTTGATCGATACCAAAGACTATGAAAAAAGAAAGACAACAAAACAGCTCCCCAAATGTGAAGCCAAAAGGTTTTTGAGTTCCTACTGCTGACTGGCTGCAGTACAGGGCATAAACTCCGCCTCCTTCATATGTTAGCAGATGGTGACATGAGGTCAAACTCTAAAATCATAGTACACGTCAAATTATGTATTCACAACCATAGTTTCTTACTTTATAGTTAGTTATCATCATGCCGATATACAAGTCCAAAAGTGTTTCTTTTTTAGATATCTTTGGTTTTAATTTGTAGTGTGATGCTAAAAAAAAAGGTAAATGTCATGATTGACAGCTCTGTTGATGAATGCCGCTCCTTCGACACTGTGTTCACCAGATTAGTAGAGCACAGGACACAAGAAGAAATGTATCCAAAACTAACACCACATTAATTAAACTTTCTATAATAAGGAGTGTCACCTTCGAACCAACACAAGAATCTGTTCATGTTGAGGACTGTACCAACCTGAAGAATTTTTTCTGATTTACTGGTAAGTCAAATATGTGTTTTGGCTAGCCGAGGGGGGCGGAACAGAAATGGGTTGAGACGCGTAGTCCATCCATATATACAGTCAATGACTGATATTTGGAAAGTAGGTAGTAGGTAGTAGTAGTAGTAGTAGTATATCTGAAAGTAGGATATGACTTTAGGGAAGCAAATTGCCAGCAGATGTAAATTGGCTAAAGACGTCCCACACATAAGCAGCAGAGTAAGAAACATGTAAAAAACTGTTAAAGACATGAGTGCAAAAATATATAGTTTTTGCTTTTTTTAGATCTTTCATTGAATGATTTTCTTTTCACCCTGAAAAGTATTGAACAGGAGGTTTATACTGAGGGAGCGACATGGTTGCTGGGGCCACTCACACTTTGAGCTGTGACATGAAGGAAAGCCAAGGGTCCACTAACCAGAGAATACAATTGAAGTTTCAAACCATGTCAGAGTACCCTTGTGACTGCGTCTCTGCATATCTTCACACACACGGGCAAACCTCTCTGCTCAGGAAGTATTAAATAAACATAAAGCATTTTTCGAACTGCACTGAAAGGGGAGCACACACATTCCTCTGTTGTGTTATGATAGATATCTGGGACAAACTGCAGAGAACTAAATCCCTGCAACAAAAAAAAAAACTTCTTCTCTTTCACACTCATCTACAAAGCCTCTCCTGCTCCTGTTAGTGTATGTCTTCCAATGCAAGTGCTTAGGTGGGTTGGTTGGTTGGTTGCTCTGAGGAGTTATTTCACTTTTTTCCCCCTTCAAATAACTCTGTCCTCTGCTGAAAGCTGAAACGTTCCTTGTAGAAACCTCTTGACTATTACATTTTGTCTGGAAGACAGCAGGAGGGGAACAATAGTGTGGCAATGGCAAAACAAAGATCTGCCTTTATTTCTCCCCCTTATCAGGTTCCTGACGCATTCCTTTTGCTAAAATCCCCTAAAACACGCACACAGGCATGCATGCATGGCTGCACAAACACAGACACACACAACACACAACACACAACACACAACACACACACATACATAGAAAAAGCACACACTTCTACCTCATAAGACTCACTTACATTCTAATGCCTCATGGACAAATGATTATAGAGGCCCACTAAGGGTGCTTCTGTGCTGCGACGGAGAGTCATGTGTGGGGGTGTTTGTGCATTTTGCGTGTGTGTGTGTGTTGGTGTGCATACTGCCAGAGAACAGAGAGAGGAGGCATTGATTCGGGGGAGAGAATGAACCTGAAGACCTGGCGAGAGAGACAGGCTAACCAGAGCCAGATGGTCAGATAGGGAACATTAAGGCCACTGAGCTTCATGCAGTGATACACTGTGCATAAGTGCCACAAACACAACATATATGTGCATCTCGATTAATGGAATGTGAATCTAAAATGAGTGGAGGCAGCAGTAAAAGTGTTTTTTTTTTAACTGCATAACCGTCGGTCAATACTGATTTTTTTTCCCCTGGTACTCACTCTGCATGCATGTTAATGTGCTGCTTGGTTTTGCTGGTGTGTGTGTGTGTGTGTGTGTGTGTGTATTCTGTTTGTGTTACCTAGTCGAAGCTCACACAGGCGGAGCTGTGGATCCAGGGGAGGGTGGAGCCGCTTCTTCTTTCTCCAGCATCTAGCAGGGTATGTATACATCTGTCCCGCTGCCTGGCCTGGACACACAGACACACACATAGATATATGGACGCACAAACAAGCAGAGAGAGAGAGAGAGAAAGAGAGAGAGAGAGAGAGAGAGAGAGAGAGAGAGAGAGAGAGGCACACAGGAAGAATTTTAACAACCATTGGCAGGCTTACAATTTGAACAAAACTTGCATTGAAACCTTGACCCCAGATATAACTCCCCCCCTCCCTCCAACACAGGCACATACAAAATACAGTAGACACAGTGGACTAGCCTTGTTTTCTTGATACTGAATACGTCCCTCGTCCAGGTCCATTCAAAAAGTTTTTAAGTTCATACATACGAAGAAAACATTGAAATTGAACACATGTTTTGGGTCAAACATTTCAGTGTATATGTTTTACTTAATGTTTAGGATGGTGTTATCACTTTCACCTCTGATTAAATAAGCACATTTTCTGTCACTATTTCAACAAAAAAGTTAGTTTGTACTTGAATTTAACATTTTGTCCTTGCTCCTGTGTGTTTCAGCTTCCTCCAGTAGCTTAGCTACTAGCTAGGCTTAGCTTAGTTGGACATCAAGATGAGAGGAAAAAAATTATGTTTTCCTGTCAGCATAAGCAGAGAAAAGATCAGGAGAAGGAGGGGGTGGGGGGGGGATAAACCCAGAATAAATACATATAATGTGAGTTAGGTCTGCCACAAAGTATAGGGTGTGGCCTGAAGGGCTTTGCATACAAGATGGAGCGCAGGCTATTTGTGTCTGTCTCTCGGTAAAGAGCAGATTGTTCCCTTTGGCTGTACAGGCGACCCAGATGTGTGTAAAGCATTCTGACTGTTCTTCTAAGGAAAATTCAGCAAGTGGGTTGACTTTATAACAGGAGGGGGATCCATTTATTCATCTTTTTTTATCCAGCAATATGTGTGCATTCCTATGTCTCCTGTTTCCTGCAGAGGTTTCAGTGAGAGGTTTTCACTGTCTTTGCATCGTAATAATGCTACAGCCACCTGCAACATAGTTTAACTTACCATTGAGACTTGATGTATTGAATACAGCACACATGGTTCTTTCCAAAGGACACACAATCTGCCTACCAGCACCTCTAAAGCTCACTGATGGACACTTAAGATATAGTTTGTTTTATCTGTTAACACAATATTACAGCGACAACATCGCTCCAGGAAGTCACTGCACCAGGTGAAGTAAAAGTCCAACACAAACCCTCCTGTGAAACCGCAACACATTGGTTTTATGTTTTGAACAGGTTAGACTCCAAGATATAAGGTTTTGAGTGAGGAAGAGACATGTATAAATGTTTAGACATTAGATTAAATCATATGTAGTCTATATTGGTTGCCTAGCAATCACTGCCTCCAACACTACATGAAATCACTAGAAACAGTCTCATTAACCCACATCATAATTTTACAGTGCACTTTCTCTGTTTGAAAAAGTTGAAAAAGAGCGCAGTTTGAAAAGTGAAATTGTTGGACAAAGCCAGGTAAGCCTGTCACTCTCCATATGCTGAGCTACTGAGCTTAGCTTATCATAAGGGAAGTACAGGAATCAGCGGCAAGAAGTCGTTATGGGGATTAGATTTTGTTTCCCACCTGGTTGGCGGTGTCGCTTTTCCATCCAGATGTAGCAGTTGTTCTGTGCGACACCAGTTTGCGAGTCCAGGAAGGGCATGCGAACGCTGCGTTCTGCACAGAGGCGGGCATTGTAGCTGCGACAGTGTTCAATCGCCTCCCTGTAGAACTGGTCACCAAGCCTGAACGAAGACAAAGAACATGGTGGGTATGAGTGGTGAGTAACTGGGTAATTTACAATATAATACAGAAAACGTGGCAAACGATAACAGTGATGTCATGATACAGGGATTGTGCAGTAATTTATATATTGCAATACAATCATATAATGATACACCTCAATATCTTGAGTAACTGAAGAATGAATCTTTCATTCATTCATAAATTCTCTACATTATCCAACTGTCTTCTTCTTTTTAATGTATCCTGCTGTCAACGTCTTCTTTGGCCAATCAACTTGTGTTCACCTTACATTCAAGTAGGGACATGGTGAGTCAAATTACCTGGGAAATTTATTACAGCCCCATATTTAAAAAAATGGAAATACCGATATTTGGAACCAGCAGTTTGATAATTATATAATATAAGACAATGATGGATATTGATCACTGTCTTGATCAATGATATTGATTTATAGCCATATAAATACATATTCTCTCTGTAGCAGCTATGGACGAGAAGAATAGACAGAGATCTGTTTTGATTTATATAATGCATCCAGCTTGGTGTCATTTACCCCTTAAAGGGCTGCACCATTCATCCAACATCTCAAGTAATGTGAAAAAAGATCTCATTGTAGATATTAGTAACATTATAGCCATTTTTCTGCTATTGATCCAGGCTATTTGCAGCATGCTGCTTCGATTTCTGCTTTCTATGCGCCGAGTCATTCCTGCTGTCCTGTCAGCTAAAATATGTTCAGATGGTTAGTGGCATAACATGCGCAGAGCGGCTGATGATTTGGTAAGGTCTGCAAATCAAGTATGATCGAACCTGCTCAGCCCTGGTTAGTGTTGGCCTAACAACACAACACATAGCTCTCCAAAGTTTTGCTCTGTTTGTTTTGAGGCTCTGGATGTGAAGCTTGAAGGTGCAACATGAAGACAGCTGAGGTGTAATGGAACCTTTATAAAGGCTGAGCACATTAAAGGGACACACACACACACACACACACACACACACACACACACACACACATACAGTAAACTATGATAACCATAAGAATAGGAGAAATATTTCATTCTGCCAGATTGAAGGATAAATCAGAGTGCTGGATTGAAGGCTACACCACAGACTGGCTACACACACATAGATAAGAGAGTATAAATCAAGATGTAAGACATCAATTATCTCCGCAGTACCCGTTCAGAGGAAAGATTTTTGCAGACAATATCATTACAGAGTGACAAAACAAACCAAGATGGACCCACTATGGACCAAAAAGTCATTTGAGTCCGTCATGCTGTATTTAATTACAACTTAAATCCAGACAGAAAGATGGAGAAAAGATAGTTCTTTTGTTGTTTGATGTTTTGCAGCGCACATGGCTCAGCTTCAGAGAACAGACTGGACTAGAACAACATCTTTAGGCCTAGATAACTGTTAATTAGCTTTTTTTGAAATAAGACAGCCACAGAATAGTATTTCTGTTGGTATTGCCAATAAATTATTTCCACATATTCCCCTCATTTACTCCAACAATGTTGACGTGAAGGTTGTAAATGTTTTTACAAAAGGATAGATGCAACTACTACAGCATTTTCTCCTATGAGGAGGATTTCATACGTGTCTTTCTGAATCCAGACTGGTTGAGCAGGGACGGTCTCTCAGTGGAGTCTCTTCACAGATATGTAAAGAATGCCAGAACTGGACAAAGACCAGCACTCTGGTCACTCCAAATCTCACAAAGATGTGCAGTGTTTGGAGGTGGAGGGAGGGAGATGAGGGAGGAGGATGGAGAAGGAAGAGGGTGAGTGAAAAAGGGTGAAAGGTTGGATTGAGAAGCAAGAGGGACTTAACCAGGTTCTACATGTATTAAATAGATGAGACAGAGGAGATTTCAGAGGAGGGCACAAAGAAGGCGCTTCATTTCCAGCAATATGAATAAAAGAGAGCAGCCTCATACAATAATTAGAGATGAAGAGGGAGAGTTGTAGTTGTTATCTGGAAAGTTAATCTATCTTAAAGTAGGAGGCATCAAAGTGAATAACAAATAGAGAACAAAATAATGAAAGTACAAGACTGATTACTCTTTTTCTTCAACCTACTAAACATGATGACTTCCTTAAATCTAAAAATAAATATTCTACACATTATTGAAGTAACTGTAAAATGTGCTGTGATGTATTTACAATTAGGTGTTGTTTTTCAACAGAAAATAAATTTGATGTTAAAATGGTGTTACCAGTGGAGACTTCTTCAAGCCCAGCAGCTCAACGCTGTAATAGAACAAACTTTTTATATTACTTTTTGGCTTTTGTAATGATTAATAGATGTAATGTTTAAGATAGAGATATTAATATGTGCTGGTAAATTGATGTATTTATGCTAAGACAAAGACAGGCTAGCTGTTTCACTCTGCTTACAGATTTATGCTATGCTAGGCTAACTGTATTTTGCCTCAAGCTTCACATTTGCTGTACAAATATGCTAAGAGCGTGATACATTTCTCTCATAATAGTTGAAAGAAATATATTGTCAAACTATTGCTTTAAAACTTAAATCAATAGTTTGACAATTTACCTTTACCTTAAAGTTTAAGGTAAAGATATACTTCAAGTCCAGGAAATTACTGCTATCTGCTTATAAAAAGCCAAAAAACCACATGCTATAACACAGATTGACATTACTTTAATGCTTTCGTATTGACTCGCTGTTTACCCCTGCTTACCTTTTCAACAGCATTAGCAGTTATCATTTAAGTTTCTTTCATTCTTTTGGTTAGGCGCTAGCTGACAACGCGAGCTAGCATAGAGTAGCAGCTCTTGTGAGAATTTTAATGAGATACTTCACCCATTTGTATTAAGCTTTGTATCATTAGAAACCTGGTAGTATTTTTGAATGGTCGTGCATCCCGCCCTCATTTTCCCCTGAGATGGGAAATCTTTGTATTTCTAAGTCTGAAAAGGAGCTTCCAGTGACGCAAAATGTCGATTTTTGCGTCACTGGAAGCTGTTGCGGCTATATTGCTGGCAGCCGCCAGCTCAGCAGCCAAGACATAAGGCTTGCCTGTCGGCGGTGAGGACAAGAAGCGGGGGCCGGCTCGAGCTGGGGAGAACTGGTAGTGTTGGTGCTCTCACTGTTTGCTTATGGACACAGACACAGAGTCTGTTTTCTGACAGGAATTTCCAAGATCAATTCTGGAAGAAATCTCTGAATCAGTTGAGGAAATGGCCTCATGTGTTGAAGTAAATATGTCTGTAAATGTTTTCATTACTATCTTTCTTCTGCTATATTGTATATTTTGGAGAAACTGTAACAATTGAATTTCCCTCTGGGGTTAATAAAGTATTTCTGATTCTGATTCTGAAATAGAGAACCTTAGTGGGAGTGGCCTGCGGTGCTGTACATTCTGGGATTTGGTGTCTTTCAGCCAAAAAGACACTTTCTGACTTTTCTTGGCCAAGAAGGCTCCAACTTCAAAATTTATTTCACATTTCTACTACATACATGACCCAATGTCAATAGAGAGTCATGTTTCAACGGGTGAAGTATCCCTTTAAGTGCCACATTGTAGTGACTGTACAACTTATGGACTGAAACATGTGGTAGATGCTAGCTGAGGTTTTTGTCAGGGGACCTACGCAGATGAGGAACACGGCTGTTCTTTCTGGATATGTATTGTTGTTTTTTAGCGTGACAAACCAGCAGTCACAGAAATCGAGTTAAAAATCCAGATCTCCAGGAGAGACTTCCTGTCACGTAAAACCAGATTCCCAGAAGTGAACGTTTGTCTCTGCTTTCAGTGTTTGCTGCCTGAACTGAAGCGTGTGTGAGAGTGTATGTGTGTGTGTGTGTGTGTATGTGTGTGTGTGTGTGTTTGTGTGTGTGTGTGTGTGTGTGTGTGTGTTTGAGTGGCTGGACCTGAAGGCATTTCTCTTCATCCCCACTTTTCTTCCCTCTCTTCCTCACTGTGTCATTCCATATTGCTGCATTTTTTCCCCCACTTTCCAGCAACAAAGTGTCTGCAGCTTCATTACGTCTTACATAAGCAACTGTGCCTGCTGTGCATTTGTTGGAGATGTGTGTTTGGTTAAGTGAAAGTAAAGAGTGTGTATGTGTGTGTGTTACTATGCCTGTAAGACCATCTGTCAGTAGGTTGCATGTCCTCAAAGATCCTCCCCCCAACCTCAGATTCACCCATCAGAGATGGAACTGTGCTCCTTTTCTTACCCATTAGTCATCTGTATGCCTGACCCTTGTGATGGTGCTTATGTAAGTCCAGTTTTGCATGTTGGGGAAAATTCCTCTTGGTCAACAGCTTCCTGGATACTGATGGAATCTGCATTTGTTGTACGTGTGTTAGTGTGTGTTTGCTCCCATACCAGCACAAAGGAGCTTTGTGCGAGACGGTCAGTCTTATCAAAGTATAGTAGTGATGATGGTGAAGAGCGTCTCATGATAAGGTCGATGTTTCCTGGTAAAAGTTTAGAGAGACAGAGCTCATGGACAGTATAAATAATAAAACATAAAACTGAAATCTTAGCCAAGAGGAAGAGAATGCTCTATTAATTGGACTTTCTGTGTCGGTGTCTGCTGTCGTTTCGTCCCTATCACTCTCATTGCAACCTGCAAAGTATTTTCTGTTATGTTTTAGAGGATGGACATGTATCCGGCAATAGATGTCTTCCTGACTTGATGATACAATTATACAATGTTAGGTGTAAATTATCGTAACACTGCAGTGAATAAATACAGTAGTCCTGCACAAGCATTTTATATTCTTCAGTTAATCAGATAGTGTGATATCATATGGTTGTCAATGTCCTGTGGTGTATCAATTATCACCAAATCGCTATATCTGAAAATGATTGTACTGGACAGACATAGCATTAAATGGTATATTGCAAAAGGACTTGTATCTAAGCTTGTATGTAAGCTTGTATAGCGCTTTTCTAGTCTGCTGACAACTCACACCTACTCATTGACATCACATTCACACACTTATGGGTGAGGCTTCTATATAAAGTGTCAATCAGTATTAACTCATCCATTTATAAACATTCACACGCCGCTGATGCAGCTGCAGGAGCAATTTGGGTTCCAGTGTCTTGCCCAAGGAGGACACTTCGACATGTGGCTGCAGGAGTAGGGGATTGAACCCGGACCTTCCGGTTGAGAGAATTACCAGGCCCGGCGTGACCAATCTGGAGAACCAGGACCGGCTGGTTGTAGGGCTGTGAGTGCCATTGTACAGCGACGGTAAATTGATCATACAGTCTGCACTCGCTAAGGATGGTACGAGTACTCATTATTCGATAAGCGTTTCACTGTAGAGACAGGTATGTTCTTTGACAGCCTTGATCAGGGACGTCTATGTCTGACTGGAAACACAACCGTAACATTGGTTCAGCGGTGACCGACAGCCAAACAGTATACTTGGTCGGGACGGTCTGCACCTTACTGGACACACAAGCCGAATGTTGGTAAGAAAATATGGTTCATAAAAAGAGCAAAGGTGGCCCAGAAAAAAAGCCAGATTTAAAAAAGAAAAGCTTTAGCAGCTGACACGCTCAAATGCACCAAACTCAATACGTTTTTCATTAAAAACAAGCTTGCGGCTTTATGTAAACCGTTGGAGATGACACAGGTAAGCTTGCAGGGCAAGATCAAGATGCCAGATGTGAAACACAAAAAAAAAAAGTGCAAAGTACAAACAAGTGTACAAGTTTATGAAACAAGTCAATGTGTGTGTGGTGTTATGTGGCCTAAAGTATACAATACAAATAAGTTCTTTGCAAATAGTAAACAATGTTTGAAACACAGCCATGTATCCCTAAGTGATATATCTCCAGTTAAAGGTTGTGAGCTGAAGTGTTCTGGTCTGAGTCATGAAACTCCCGGGCTGAAAATGAGTCCCAATCCGGCCCTGGAGAAGACCGACTCCACCACTGAGCAACAGCCACTCCACTGTTCAGAATGTAAAACAGTTTGCATGTTGTTTGCAGGACCTCATTAAGCTCACCGAGACAGAGATACTGGGAAAATTAAAGCCTCTTCAGTAATCAGCCTAGGCTGATATTGTTAAAGTAATGACATGCATTATTTCATCTGGTGACATATTATCTTATAAATGCATGAAAATGTCTCAAAGAGGAACTTCACAGTGTCGGGGAATGATGGGAGTTATCACCCAAATAGGAAAAAGGTAGTGGCAGAAGAGGAAGTCCACATGTGGTTAGGAAAAGATAAATGGCCCCTTAAGGAAGTGCAGCAAATGATACTTGTTTTTGTGTCACTTTGGAAGCCAAGCCGCGGTATGATGAAGCAGAGAGAGAGAGAGGAAGGAGACGAAGAGGGGGAGCCAAGGAGAGAGAATGGGAGGGAGGAGGAGGGGTCCGCTATATCCCGGGGCACACGTGTTCCCTTTCAAACCCTGTCACACTCATTTTCTCTCAAATGTGCGGATGTACATATGCACGAGCGCATTCACACACGCAGACTAGTGCGTGCACAAACAGACACACAAAGGGGAATGAAAGGGAAAGGTGGAGAGTGCAGGCAGAGGGGGATACGGGGGAGAGGCAGAAGGGAAACCCTGATTCAGATGCTGCTGTTGTTTTGCTAGGAAGGCAGGGGAGGAGGGCGGTGGTGAGGCGAAGGAGAGGAAGCTGCAAACGTTGGGGAGAACGATATCTCCCATCAATCGGCATGTGAGTGCTGCAGGGAAGCTGAGAAAATGTGTCTCCAAAGGAAAAAAACACAATTTTATATGTAAGGATTATCATGCATCCATATCCCATCACCCCGCTGTCCCCTTTGAAATCTCACGCAATCATGCGCCACATGTGCCTGCTTCATGTGCAGAATACGATTTTTTTTTAAAAGAAAGGAAAGGGATTGATCACCGCATGGAGCCTTCTTTTTTTTTTTATAAGAAAATGTTCCTGGCCATTTAATTCCACATGCCTGGAAACCATTCCCGGGGCTCGCATAGACAAAGGCCAGAGTTTGCCCCTGTGCTCAGGCTGTAGTATAAATGTATGCAGTAGTAAACGCAGCCAGACAGACAACCCCCCACATACCCCTCAGCCCCAAAAACCTCCATCACTCACTCACTCGCTGCCTCTCACGCAAATTGGGGGGAAGGGCGGGCAGCTACACACAACCGCCTACACATGCATCAAACACACACACGCACTGACCTCCACAGTAAATACACACCATCACTTTCTCCATTACATTTCCCCAAATGTCAGCCTCTGATTCCTTGTGCAAACACAACCAAGCTACTTTCCACCTGAGCACTTTAGTGCATCAAACTAATGATAAGAAACAAGGTCAAACGGAGCCATCATAACCACATAAACACACCTCTGCATACATAATATAACAGTCATTTGAATACTTCTCATGTCAGCTCTTCCTAGCTAAAAGGCCTCAGAGGTTTCAATCACAAAGAGGTCTTTTAGAAATGAGAGTTCTGAATAAATCAGGTAAATATGCATGGCTAAACATGGCTGAATCAGTCTGAGGCAGACCTATTCAGTGCTGGCTACAGACATTTGAAAATCATCTTTTAGAGCTGAAAATATTGTTATTACCAAGGTCCTATTTACTGCATATGATTTATCTGAAACACCCTGTGGGACAGACTCAATTCATTTCACTTAGATTCTAGTGCGTGCGTTTGTTTTGCTAGTTAGTTTTGCCAAAAGCCAAAAATACACGTATTGTTTTGCCTTTTTCCAGATATATTGGAGCGGGGGTTGGTTTGGTGCAGTCTGTCTGATTAAATCCATATATGAAAGGCAGATGGGGTTCTCTCTCCTCTGCCCTAGCATCTTGTCTTTACATACCTCTCCATCTTTCAACAGATGGACCCAGGAGAATACTGGGACACTCCTAATCTGCTGCTCTACATGCACAACTGCAGACACACTAAACACACACACACACACACATACTGTGTACCTACATTCTGTACAGCTTAATCTGTTTTGGTAGAATACAGCAGCTTAAAGCAGCATTTTTATAAGTGATGGGTATACAGTTTTTTTTTGGTTGTAAGCAAAGAGCTCACAGGCATCATGGGTTTCCTCCTTTTATTACTCCAATGTTAATGCCGTGTTTTATAACATTGCTGGTTATGTGAAAAAGTCTAGATATAGGATTTCCAACTTGTCTGACAATATTTTTTTTATCACTTCTTAATATTTATCTTATCTTCATTTCTCACTTCAAGCGTTTTATTGTTTTTTATCTCTTCATACTTCTTATTGTTTCTCCCTCTATCTTCTTACATCCTCAGTCCCCTTGGTCTCAACCTTAGTTGCTGGGCTCCTGTGTTGCCTGAGTTAATATGAGTTATTGTTGCTTGAATTCTGATGTTGGTCAGTTTTTTGTTCAGGTTATTTTACTGTCTGGGTTTTGTTGTTATTGGTGTGGTGTCTCTTCCATGTGTTGCGTTGTTGTCGTGATTTTCTGTTGGGATTTGGGTTCTCATGTGTTGTTGTCATGTTTTCTTCTGCACATGTCAAAGCACTTTGTAAAACCTTGTTTTTAAAAAGCGCTAAAAAAATCAAGTTATTATTAATAATATTATTATTATTTGACAGTACTATAAAAATTATAGGTGGACACTATTTAAAATGTTAAAAGTGAAAAACCGTGTTTTTTCCTTTAAAAACTGTTTACTGTTAAGGTTTACATCAGATTCTGTGACTGTTCAAATCTGTGCACATTCCAGGTGATCAGTGGTAAACATCAGCCTTCAGCCAGCAGGACAGACATGCATTCAGTAACATTAACTGAGCTGAAAGTTATGGATACACAAATACTGCAACACAAATGCAGTGCAGACATAAAAGGGGTGTGTTGCAAGGTTTAAACTTGCAAAAAAAATGTGCTCATTCGGCTATATTAAGCAGTATCAGTATGCGATCTGCCATAGAGTTGCTTTTTTTTATATGTCTATATTTGTCAATATTGCATGTCTTCTTTAAAGAAATAAACATGCTGTCCAATATTGCACGTCTTCGCAAATGAGAAATTGTACCCGTTCCGATCATCAAGATCACACAGTGGCAGCGTTACAGTGCATGAAGGTACCTCTTGCTACATGCACAAAGGAAGGATATAGCGGATACAAACATACAATAATCAGCTATGCATTTGAAAAACGCATGCGGCAGTCGCAGCAAAAACACGAACCGCGCACTGAGCTATGGTCGCCTCCTCAGTGTGCGCTTTGTGACAATAAGTGCATGAAATTATCTATGCAAATTCATCCCATTAGCACTGACAAAAGATCCCTGCGTTCAAACTTACGTCAACCATGTTTGCAAAGCAGATAATGTGGACAATGGCAACTTCTATTAAAGTAAAACCAAGTGCACGAGTTTTTTTTAAGTGCGGATATCTACGCGAGGGGTTGGAGATGTTCCTGCAGATTGTGCATGAGTGCATGGCTTTATATTATACAACACTGAGAGCAACGGTACCTGCAGAAAACACACACGGTCACTGACCAAAGTACATGGCAAAATAGTTCATTTTATGATTTTTATAGAAACGTGCATTGAACTCTAAATACATACTGAAGGCAATCTTAATTTACAATCAACCACGAAGACATTTAAAAAAAAAATCTTCAATGTACTTACGATTTTAGAGGATTATGAATGACAGTCGCCATTTTCCTGCTGGACTGTAACGTAATATTCCAAATCTCTGTGTAGTTTGGGACCCTTATGAAAAAAACACAACAGCCAATGCGGTCGTGGGCACTTTGCTCCCTACCAATACAGCGCCAGCATCAAGACATGGGGCGTGGCTTAATGTCAAACTCAATGTCCCTTTACACAGAGGAGAGATGATCTATTGAAAATGATTCAATTTGTTTTATTTAGTCGAGGATTTACTTTTAATGAGAGTTGCATAAATCACCAGCTCTGCCATGATGTGCCGTTTAAGTTACGGGCTGTGATACCTGTTTTGAACAGCATCAACCAAACTTCTAATCTTTTACTTTGAATCCTTCAGGAATCACAGAGGCAAAAATGAAACTACATTTGATTGGAATACACACAGTTTCTTAATGTATTTTCAATTTCTGTAGTCCATCCATCACAACAATTAAATCAATTGCTACATTATTTATTTTCATGCGCGGCTAGTACACTCGCAAAGAAAACAACCAATGAATGACGGACACGTCATCAAGCATTGTTAGCTTTTAGCCAATAAGTGACAGTTAGAGGCGGGACAAAATGGCAGGAACTCATTGTACAGTAGCTAGCATGGATAGCTTATGAGGTGTCAAAGCTCCTAAATTTGGTAAGAAGAAAGCGTTTTTATTCACCGAAAGGGTTGCGTTGATCGGTCATTTTAAGCTTTTTCTAATAATTTATTTTTGAAGTCAACCATCAATATAAAGGTGCCAAGCAGACGTATAGCGAGCGTAAGCTAAATAATGCTAACGACAACAACTCACTCAGTAAGCTCATATGCTGCTTCCACCAGCCGTACAGTCTCCTGATCACAGAAGTGATTGAACTACAAAGCGTTGTGAGGAGTTTAGAGATGAAGAAGTGGAACAGGCGACGAGCTGCTGGTCAACGAGGCTGGTTCAGAAGTAACAGACAGAGATCAACACAGGACCAACCTCGGTGGGTTTAAATAAAAGCTTCTTGTGAAACATCTGAAACGTTTGACTGATCAGTTCTGCGACGACACACTTCAAATTCTGGTAAAACATGATGCGATTTTTCTGTTCCCAGGTCTGGACATTATGATGCAAGCTCTCACCACAGAGCATCCCAAAGACATGAAGACCAGATTCCCTCACCCTCAACCCCATCCTCATCTTCTTCATCCTCCTCTTCTAATACCAGCAGCGTTGCACCAGGTTAGTAAAAGACACTTGACTCTTTATTGCTACTGATAAGTAAACAGTGTTGACAGAGATTTCCCCCCTCATGAATCAGGTCCTCCGATTATGTGCTGTATGTTCATGCCTAATTGTGTTGCCTTGTTCTGCTGCCAGAGCTGCCGGGTTTCTACTTTGACGCAGAGAAGAATCGTTACTTTCGCTTGCTGCCTGGACACAACAACTGTAACCCGCTGACAAGAGAGCAGCTGCAGGAGAAAGAACGAGAGAAGCAGAGAAACAAAATGCTTGCAGAAGATGAGTTGCCCAGAAAAGTGAGTCTCTGGTGTTGTGCAAGTAAAAGTCAGGCCCAGGCAAGATGTGCAGTCTTGTTTACTACTCTAATGGCCTTCAAATGCTAAGGGGGAGAGTGCGTGAGACTTGAGTCCTGTCCCTGTTGCTTCAATGCAAACCTGTTCACTGTGCCCAGAAAGGTTAAATTGCCTCTTTTTTAATGGAGGAACTTTTTTTTACTTTTTCACAGAAAGCACCGAGAACAGGACTTAACACTTCACTGCTGCTACAGAAAAGACATCTCGGCATGTTACCTGAGAACTCCTACCACAGGTACTGAACTGTTACACAGCTGTGTGTTCACGCATTCATGGACGTAGAGCTGACTTCCCTGTATGCTTTAAATATTACAACAACAACAGCTGTGGTACATAATAGAAAGCAACCCTAGCAAAAGAATGTCTAACCCTAATGATAATTTGCTCTGTATGTGGAGCGAGGTTTTCTTTGGAGCATTGTTAGCCACTAATAACGATGCTGATCAGTTTTGACAGCGGTTTAAGAGAAGGAGAAAAAGAATAGAACAGAAGTCATATTGTAGCCAAAATATCGCTGCCTTATTGAATTATTTTAATTTAACTCACAAGAAGAACAACATAGATTTATAGGAACCTTACTGAAAATGTTTTCATCGGTATAAAAGGCGATGGTTCTTCTCTTTGTTACCACGGTTACTGTTTGTCCTTAGGCTAGTCCACGAGGTGAAGGTGAGTGCGATGAGACGCCACAAGCTGGAGATCCAGAGCACAGACAACAGCAACCCGAACACTGACAACTTCAGGCTGATAGTGGTGAGAATACACATGCGATACATCACTGTTATTACTATTGTAGTTCTAATAGATGCACTAAAGTAACACATTCTTCCATAAATGCATTGAATTTGTAACCCTCCTGGTTTATCTCAGGGCGACTCGGCTTGTGAGCGAGTGTTCACAGTAAACGATGTGTCGCACGGAGGCTGCAAGTACGGCATCATGAACTTCAGCAGCAGCAGAGGATCTCTGTCTGTGGAAATGTGTGACAACCTCTACTTCACCAACCGAAAGGTGTGTGCTCCACAGGGACTGCAGTGGTGAAATTGAACATTTAAGATATTTTTTATGCACAATGTGGCCGTCTTCAAACCTACATTTAAAGGAATCCTTGTGAGTTTGGTTTATTTTGCCTCAATTGTGATAAATGTGTCAGTAGCCCCTTTGAATCCCCTTCAACACTTGGTTTTCGTTTGTAAAAATCTGCATGGTGGAAATGAGTTTCACAGCTCTACTAAATGTGTTTCAGGTGAATTCCATCTGCTGGGCTTCAGTCAACTATCCCGACTCCCACGTCCTGTATCCTTCTTTGGCTTTATCCTTCTTAGTAAACGTGCATGTCTTGAAACTAAAAAAGTGCAACCTGAACTCTGCCTTTTCTCCTTCTTTTCCTTCACTGAGTTGACTCTCAGACTGTGTCTGGTTGGAGCAGCAGACACTCCCGGCTGCGTCAGTTTACTTCCTGCTTCCCTCTTCAGCAACTCCAACCCAGGTTGTATTGAGTAGGATCTCCTCTCTTTTCACACACTTTCCACACTCTTATTTTATTTTTCTTGTGTTTACTTAAAGCATAAAGCTCTATTATTGAATAATCGTTAACAGTTAAAATACTGAATGTAATGTACTCGTATGTCTGCAGGCAAACAGTTAAAAAGACATATTTTATGATGGCATTTTTGTGAACATCTTCATGTTAACATCTGTCCTCTCTCTTCAGACCAGCCCGGGATGCTGTGTAGCTTTAAGATATCCTCAGCCTGGTCATGTGCCTGGTGTCTCAATCCCCAGTTTGACAAGACCTTCAGCACCGGTGGGTCTCAGCCTATAACATTTTGTGTTTTAGATGAATGTTCATATATGATTATCATAATCACACAGTCACTCTCTTTGGATTCTGTACAGTTCAGAGTTTGTTTGGCTTGGCTAAATCTCATCCAGTTGTAGGAAGAAAAATCTACAGCTACTTATGTTGTAATCAGCTCATAGATTTATACTGGCGCAGAAAGACAAAACAATTGGATTATTTTGGATTTATGTTGTTATTTGATGACACATCATTCAAATACTGATTACTCCTTACAGATGTATTACTCCAGAATGATTCATTGTCTCGGTGCGTGTGCAGGTTTGTCTCGCAGGGTGATACTGAAAGATGCAGAGACGGGTCGAACACAGACGTACAGCACAGGCAGCGACGTGTTAGCTCAGCAGTTTGCCGTCAGAGTGAGTCATCTATTACATTCAACCATTAATTGAGTTCACTTGCAACAAGATGTTACAAACATTTTCTCCTATTTTTGTCAAGACAGAAAAGAGAGACTAAGAAAGTAGTGTACCATTTTCCCTCTAGGTTCCTGTGCTGTTCAATGGCTGCAGATCAGGAGAGATCTTCAGCATTGATCTGCGGCAGCGTGTCCGCAGGGACCAGAGCTCAAAGGCCAGCCGTTTCCATCAAGAATCAGCCATCACATCTGTACGCGTCCTGCAGGATGAGAACTACCTGCTGGCTGCTGACATGCTGGGCCAGGTGAGGTTAAAGGCCTGAACATTAGATTTTCTTTGGCCAGCGGGTTATTCTTTGCCTCTTCTTACAAACACTTGGTGATACATTTCTGGTGTGTTGACTATGTTTTGATTTTGAGTAGGCCCCTGTGTTATACATGATGAATATGCAAAGAGCAATAACATTCAATAATGCGACAAAAATATGAAGAGCGATGATGGATGACATCAATTATAGTTTGAATTTAAGCTTTGACTCACAGTTTTCTGTCTCTCAGATGTTCTTTTGGTTTTTCAAAATAACCTCCAATCCAACCAAAAATCCAAATTAAGTTTTAATCCCCTCTTAATTAAGCCTGTGTCCTCTTAATCAGCATCCACACACTTTACCCCAAGAGTGAAATGCATGCATGCTGAGTGAGAACGCTTGTTTTCATAAATTCAGACGATTGTTTTGTTCAAATCTCAGAAACAATTAAATTGTGGTTAATTACACAGCGCTTGTTCTGAGATGGCCTACAGATGGTGCATTTAGGAGCAACAACCGGTTTGTTACTGCTCAGCAAGAAGGCTGTTCACAACATGGAACAGCTTTTGTGTTAGTATATAACACAGCAAACTAAGCTGTTTATATGGAAGTGAAATCTACTCGCAATGGCCAATATCAACAATAAAAATTAACGTGACTATATCTTGTTTAAAAACCTTATAGTAAGTGTTAACAAAGCTGTGTTATGTTCACTCTATCAACTATTAAATAAATGGAAATGATTTGTAACTAGCTTTAACTGGGGTTCTGAAGAAGATCTTTATAAAATAATATCCAGCATGGATACTTGGACTTTAACTTTGTTCTGTTTTCTTTCTTTATGCTGCAGATTAAGCTGTGGGATGTCAGAGTGACAAAGCCAGTGCAGGAGTACAAAGGACACTACAATGAGCATGCCTACCTTCCCATCCATGTCAATGAGCCCGAGGGGCTTTTGTTGGCAGGTAGGAGAGGACAAAACTTGCTTTTTATTAGAAACAACTGTCTCTGTCAAAGTGATACCAAGTTATTTTTAGCCTTTTATTTTTTATAGGACAGGGGAGAGTGTGGGGAATGACATGTAGGAAAGAGATGCAGGTCGGACTCAAACCCGGGCTGCCCCCTTGTATGACTATAGCCTTCGTATATGGGGTTTGACCACTAGGCAGTCTGCACCCCAATAACTAGTTGATGATCTAGTGTCACAAGCTTTGAGATGAATCTGTCACACTGTAGCACATTAAAAGAAACACCCTGGTATTTTAGTGATTTTGAGAACTGATACTGTTTTTTAAAAACAATTTCTGACTCCTCTGTTTTTGTCCTCAGTTGGTCAAGATTGCTACACACGATTATGGAGCCTTAAAGACGGACACCTTCTGAGGACTATTCCTTCTCCACACCCGGTCGCCAACGACCTGATCCCGAGCGTCGTCTTCTCTTCTAAGCTGGGCGGCTGCAGGGGGCTCCCCGGTCTGCTCATGGCCGTCAAACACGATCTGTACTACTTCCCGTACAACACTGACTATCAGGAAGAAGGAGAGGAGCAGGAGAGCTTTTAGGAAAAGACTAAAAAAAAACACTTTATCTTCAAAAAAAAAAAGAAATTTCTCCTGCCAAATTTATCACAACAATTATTTGCTTACTCTTTAGGTAATTTACTGTGTTAGTGGAGTGGATTTAAAGTCTCAGGGCAATGTAACTTTTGACTGACTATTGGTGCCAACAAATAATAGAAATGCTACAAACATACCTAGGGGCAGAGAATGACTAATGTTTCTGTGTAAGTGCTTTGTGTAACCTTTACAAAAAGTGCTCTTAATTTTCTCATGTCATAAAGGATGTCTGTGAGGGGATTTGAAAAAAAAGAATACTGCAACTCAAATAAGTTCATATTTTCTTGTAGGATTGTTTGTAAAGGACGGAGTCTGCACACTACAAGCTGCTCCAAATTAACTTTAATGAAATAGATGTGGATATATATTAACTTAAATGTGATTTGGAGGAGCTTCTGGTGTGTGGACTTTGAATTTGTTGTCCAGCACCCAGAACTCAACGATTCAGATGTGCGTGCTGTTTTATATCTTAAAGTTTCTAAAAAGAAAATCAGCAAACACGTGAGTGATTTTCTGCAGTTTAATACATACTGTATGAGCATACAAGAACATAAAGGTATTGATTGTTGCTTGTAATTATTATTGAACATCTTACTCTGATATGGTGATGAGCTCCTTTACGGATATTTCAGCTTATTTGTTGTGACAAAAACCAAACACGATCAGTTACTGAAAGAATCCCAGGTTACCCATCACTACAGTTGGATATCATAACACCTCGGTAACATCACGTTATATGTATCAGACAATTGTCAAGTACAGTCTTGTTGCAGTAAAGGCAACATCAAACATAGCTTACATTGCTACACAGCCTGAGTCGACAGAGTCATGGAATAGTCTTCTGATAAGCTCCTGTTTTGAGGGGCCAGCCTCAAAGACACATTGAAGTCTTTTCTTCAACCACATTAGCTACTGTGAGCCAGCCACTCTATCAAAGAAGAGTCTTTTAATGTTTCATTACACTGCAGTCAGATTTCTCTTGATAGTAGTTTGGACATTTTAAAAACAAAATGAGGCCATTTAAAAATATCCGTAATAAAGTAAACGTTTTCTTCCCTTATATTTATACTCTACGTAAAATTTAAACAGTCAATCCAGGCAGCATTGTTAAGGCTGTCCTGTTATCTGCCCATTCAAGTACAAACACCCAGAAAGGATTATACAAGAAGTAAATACTAAGTAATTGAGTTGGAATGCATCTTGGTGCTACAGTCCATTATTGGCATCTGATTGTTTTAAATCCTCCTGAAGTCAAAGACAAGCAAAGGGAAACTAGCGAACACGTATTCTAACAAGCATCAGAACTAATTAAGGTGTTTCAAGTTTTCCATCGTCTTCTGTCAAAGCCAGCCCTGAATGCTAACCAGAGCTCTGAGAGTAAAAGTGCAAACCTGGAGTCAGTTTAAGATGCTCAGTCAGTACTTCTGATAATTCATGATTCACACAAGCCACACGGGACTGAAAATAGGTGCTATTGGTATGAGTAAGTTACACTAGGAGGGATTGTCAAAGGGCTCAGGGCTTCATGTGAATGGCTACACATTTCAAAGGATCGTATAGGTACATAGAAATTAGCCTGACTTTTATAAAACATTGTAACGGTATTTTATCAACATAGCGCCTTGATATTCAAGTCTCGGTCTGACTGGTATGGTTCACAGTGTAAAATATAGGCAAAATAAAGTGAAATAGCAACAAAGGACTGCCACAGGCGGTCCAGTGGCGAGAAAAAAAAAGCGTCAGCCTTTTGTTTGTCAAAACGTCCATTCCAGTTTTAGAGGCCGGTGTCCTTGATTGTTTCCCCCTCTTCCTCCTGCTAGAGCTCCCCAGGTTTCTGGTTGCAGCCATTGCAGACCCTCACCGGGTGGTCCCAGCCCCGGGAGGGAACGGCACGGCGCTCCTGAGAGCAATCGTCACACACGCCCTGCCCACAGGCGCGGCAGTGATGGATTGAGAGGCGAGGGGAGAACTCCCTCTGGCACTCACTGCAGGAGTGGATGTCCTGGTCTGGGACCCAGTAGGCTGGGCGAGCCGCGTCCTTCATCAGGCCTGAATGAAGAAGAGATGGGACATGATTACTAAAATGATAATTTCTCTAATGATTTGGTCTGACTTTCAAAAAATACTAACAAAGTAATTAAAATGGTTGGTGTAATAGTCCCTGGATGAAGCAGGACATCATATTAAGAGCATTTACATTAGAAAAATAAATTCCATAAATTGTGTATTTTTATGAAAAAGCTAGATTTTTTTTAAAATAAAAAATGACTTGAGATTGTCCAGAACTACAGGTCTATATTCGAGTTGCTTTTCATTTCTAAGGTCTTGTAAATTATGGCTGCAAACAAGCTCTAACCTGTTTAGAATGAGCATCACATTTTTATCAATTTCAATCTGCATTCAAAAGAAACTGCTCCTCTTAGGGTCACCTGACCTGTCGATGCAGGTTGGTGCTTGAGAATACTGCATTCTGGTCTTATTGGACCTTAACGCAGAAAAGTGTGTATTCAGAGGCTCACAGAGTGACTTGTAATTCTCTTATTTGTCTGACAGAACATTTTGAGTTTCTGTTTTTAAATACGTCTCAACAGCAGAAACCCTGTCTTGTGGTGTTTCTCAGGGGTCTGTCCTTGGCCCTATGTTGTTTGCTTTGTATCTGCTCCCTCTGGGGCATGTTATAAGAGCTTTTACAGATGTCTCCTACCACTTGTATGAAGATGACATTCAGCTGCACATCTGTTGTCTGTTTTGCTAGATTGTATTAACTGTATAAAATTTTGGGTTGCAGATAATTTTCTCCAGATGAACACATATGCGAGAGAAGTTCTTATCTCTGTTCTTGCATGAAGATGGTTTGGTTCACTCCTCTGTTTACCATCTAAAAAGTATAGCTAAACTCAGGCCTGTTGGGTCCAGATCTGAGCTAGAGATGCCTTTGTTTCATCATGGCTTGATTTCTGTAGCTCTTTTCACCTGTCTTAGCAACAAATCCTTGAACCACCCACAAGTGGTCCAAAATACTATTGCTAAGCTGCTGACAAAATCATATAAAATGTCTCATCATGTTACACCAATCCTTATGTCTTCGCACTGGCTTTCTATTAATCTCAGAATCTGGTTTAACACTATTGTGATTGTGCATAGAGTGTGACATGCACCTGCTCATTTTATAGAGGTGCAGCAGCCATATAACACCAGTAGAACTCTGAGGCCTTGATCAGGCTCTGCTGCTTGTTCTCCATACAAGCCTTAAAACTAAAGGAGACTGTGCCTTTGAGGTCGTAGCTTCTTAACTTTGGAACCATCCTGTCTTGAGATTATGAGCTTTTTTTCAGGTTAATTTCAGGAAAATTCAGGTTAGCTGCAACCCTAGCCACACTGAACAACTTAAACCTCATGTTTGATACTCTACAGAGTCATCCTGAGTCTAATGTTTACTCACCAAATGATGTCACCCCCATTTTTTACACTATAAGACCAATTTCCATGTTAAACATCAGCTGGGCAGAATGCTCATTTCAGTCAGAAGTCAACTTTAATTTTAATGTCTTGATAATGGTTAAACCATAACTCATGCTCACCAAGAGGTATGTCAATGGCACCCACTACAGCTCCTAAAGTATTCTGAACGGCCTCCCCGACCTTCCTGGCTATCAGGGTTCCTCCTTCTTCTTCCAAGGCAGCATCCAGCAGCTCTGCAGTGGGAAAACATGCATACGACATCAGGCAACTTGCACAATATCAACAATCACAACTAGAAAACTAGAAACATGATACAAATCAGACAAAAAGAAGGATTTGCTGATTTGTAGAAAATAGCCTGTCGTGGATGGGTTGCAAAAGGAGAGCGTTATTTCTATTACCAGTTGGGATTCCTCGGTTGTGGAAACAGGCATCGCAGACTCGGACAGGCGCGAGACCCCACCCCCTCTCAGGGACGGGTCTGGTTTTTGAGGAGCATGTATCACAGAACCCCTCTCCACAGGCTCGGCAGTGGTGCTTGGTGTCATTAGGCTGGAACTCCTCCGCACATTTGTGGCATTTCTGCGACACAAAACAACAAAACACTGCTGGTTATATTCATTACAGTACCAGATTTTAATGAAAAGTTCTCACTTCCCAATAAAGAAGCACAATATTATTATGTACGTACCAGAATAAGAGAGTTGGGTTTCCAGTACGTGGGAGCAATCTGGTCGGTAAGCCAGGAGGTGACTGCTTTGGCAGGTTTGACACTGAGTTCAGACACTGACTGAGAAATGTATTTGACTCCATCCAGCAACCTCTGAGCAGCATTGTTGTTGTCTTTTAGAAAACCATCGGACTAAAGACAAAGCAGAGAGAGAAGTTAACATTTTAGCTTACACTCTTGTACGGCAATATCATACTATGCCTACATTTCGTTAGAGCAATTTTCTGTCGCATTGTTTTTGTACAGTATTTATATTAATTTCATTTAAGTATCTTTGCTGCATTAGTAATAGGCAACAACATAGCCATACCAGCTAACATATAGCATGTGCTTAAATTAACATGTCACTATGATACAAAATTAAATTAACCGTTGTATTTATTTTCCGAGACATGCACATTATTATTAAGAAAAATCCAATAGTCTAGGCAGAATCTCATCTAGACTTTCCACTGTGTTCTTACCCCAGGCCAGATGTGCTGGATCTCTGTTCGGACCACAGTTTCCACTGGGTCCTGGTTTCCATACCAGTACTGTCTGCTTCTGTAGATCACTGCGCAGTTGGGGCACTCGATTACGTATCTGTACACAAACAGAGGGGTATACATAAGCATTGCGTCATGGTCTTTGAACACCTCACATCACCAGAAAAATCACATTTACTGATATTTATTACCAACAATAATATAATTGTTGCAGCTCTTTAGAGGAACTTTTTGTTTGGGTTGATTTTACTGCCTCCTGTAGACAACGCCATACCTCTTATTGCTTACCTGATTTTATCCTGTACATGTGAACGCAATCTTGATCTCAATTGGTTAATAATCTCGTTAAATAAAATTAAAAAAAATTGCAGGTACTATTTTTGACAAGAAAATCTCACCCTGCTTTCTTTTAAGAGTAAAACGTATCATTCATCGAGAATCTTTTAAGGGACATTTTGAAAGAAAAGGCTATTTTTGCAGCATGCAGCTCATCACTTCCTCTCACACCTGCCCCCCAGAAGCTGTTTCAGATATTAAAAATAACTTGATAAAAATAGTCAACCTTCCTTCTGGCGGTCCCTTTTGCTTGTATAGATAAAACTATTATTTTCACTCTTTCATAAGCAGCTAAAAACTCCTCACTGGAGCTTTAAAGCAATTTCTGTAGGTACAACTGACCTAAAAATGAATGAAAGAACTGCTCATATTACAAGAGGCTGGGTCATAACTCTTTGATATTTATTTTTTTCCATATTAAATGTTGATTCATGTGGTTGTTGTTATTTAATTATGCTATTTTCCCACCAGGAAAGGCATTCCAAATCTTTATTTCTGGCAGCTGGACTCACCCAGACCAGGCGTAAATGGCTAGGCCAAACCACGGTGAGTCAG